TATGAACAGTTTAGTTTGTGCCTTCAACTCATTGCTCGTAGGAAGATGTTACTTGGATATATAACCTAACCGAATATCTTCAGAACAGCTCCAAATGACACAAAACTCATATGAGTGAGTAGAACATGATGTAATAACGTAAAATCAAGGGCCCAATGTAAAAAAAAAACACTGTTCCCCTTTAACCCACTGAGAGTGATATTTTCCTTGAATGGCACATTGTCTTACCATTGGTATATTAAAGCTTGGTTTAGAGAACTGTGGAAGTGATCCTCATACTTCTGCTTTAGGACAACACATTTCACGAATTAAAAGTTTCTGGACACTTTAATCAATGCAATTAAATACATTTTATTTAAGGTAAGACAAATATATGAACAGTTATTTTTTAAAATACAAACATTTTTTGTTTTAACGTATTTACTTTGAAGAAAAAGCATTTCTTTGAATTGTTTCTATAATTTAAGAAAAAAAACTAAAGGATTTATATTAACCCAGCAACTATAGTAATATCATTTTCTCTAACACATCTTAAAGATTTTTTTTATTTTGAAAGTTTTTTCATGGCAACAATGTCAGAGTATTTCTGACTGCACAAATGACTTTAAATAGTTTATCACAACTTTTGCTGCAGGTGTCATCTTTCTTCTCGTACTACAGTAAATAACTCCTGAGAGACTCTTCCCTGCAGCAATCTTCACATTTAAGCAGAGTATCACGTTGGCTATGAGATGGCTATGTGTCTTTTTATGTCAATTACTGATAACATAAAAGCATTTTATATAAACAAGGACACTGCTGAAGTTACATACATACAAGTACACATAGCCCATTCAAAAGTGCATGAGGGAAAATAACATAAAACTAAAGATATTGCTATGGGCAACCTATTATGTATGCAAACTGATCTAAACAATACAAACAATAAATAATGCATATATTTTTAAGGAGTATAATAACAGTTTATGACAATAAGGCTTGCTGCACCTGAAATATGTACTTAAATTGGTTCACATTTAAAAGTAATAAGATCAACAATTCTGCTCCTAACTTTATTCAACTTGAAGCCATAAATGAGTGGATTCATTAGAGGAGAAATGACAAGAAATTCCATTGCAATAAAATTTTGCAGAGTCTGTGGTAAATCTTTGGATCTAAATCGATTATTAGTAACATCAATCATTATAGTCACAAGAAAGGTAGACAGAGAGATTAAATGTGGAACACAGGTTTGCACAAACTTTGCTCTGTTTTCTATAGAATTGGCACATCTTTTGATGATATACATGTAAGACCATACAATTAAGAAACCATGATTTACATAAATTACTATTGTAATATTTGCAACAATTTCATTAATATAGGTTTCATTAAGTTGACAGGCCAGTGACACAATGCTCCAGTTTACACAGAACAGTCTGTTTATATATCGACTGCATAGCTTCAATCTAGATGTAAGAAAAATGTTAACTGCAATGATAAAAAATGATGTTAACCAAAGAGAGCATGCCATCTTAATGACTCTTTGTACTGACATGACAGAGTGGTATTCCAAAGGACGACATATAGCCAAATACCGATCATATGCCATTAGGGCAAGGATTGACAGATCACTGCAGGCAAAGGTGTACAACATATGAGCCTGCAAAAGACATCCTGAATAACAGATGATATGAACAGGAGAGAGCAGATCCCAAAGAAGTTTCGGATAGAAACCTGCTGTTCCATAAAGTGCATTAATGCCAAAGGCACATAGTAGAATATACATTGGTTGATGTAATGCATTATCAAAGATGATTATCAGAATAAGAGAAACATTTACCAAGACAGTTATGCAGTAACATGTGAAACTGAGAAAAAAGAGAGCTGATCTGTAATTGCGACTTGTGTCATTTAAACCTGATAGAAAAAATATTGTAATTGATGAAATATTCATTTTTACTTCTATTTCTTTTACTTACTGTAACAATAATCTCAAAGTTGACCTGCTTGATCCAGGTTCCAGGTTACTAGTCTTACTACTCTATTTAAATAAGGTCTTCAACATCACCTTAGTAGGGATTGTCATGCAGCCAATCAGAGTTCATTAAAAACACTATTGAGTTGTGTGTGTATTTGTTTTTTTTAGAAAACAAATAATTTATTACATGCCTCACTGACTGCAACACTATGAAAATGTAGATTTTTCTCTAACTGCTCTTTTTGATAAGTACCAAAGTTTTATTTCAGGTTTTATGCAACGCTATAGTGTGTCCAACTACTCTTGGCAGCACCTTGGCAGCAGTGACTATTGAAAGCTTCAGCATTAAACAAAAAAAATATGCTGAAGAAAAAAAAAGAAAAAAAAAAAGACATGAAAAGGGAGTGATGTTGGTGTCTTGATTACTATGAAGGGATTTTAATAAAATTTTCAACATAGATATGTTCATACAAAGGAACAATTCACAAAAATATGGTAAAGGTAGTGGACCACGTCTTTGTGATGGACCACCTCTCCACCACCATTGACAGTGTCACCACCAAGAATTGTATCACCATGTACCCCAACCAGAAACCCTGGATGAACCGCAGAGTTCGCCTCCTGCTGAAAGCCTGCAACATCGCCTTCAGGTCAGGGGATGCACAGGCCTACAGTGCAGCTACTGAGCTGAAGAAGACATCAAGATGACAAAACACCACTACAAATGGAAGGTGGAGGATCACTTCTCCAACTCTGACCTCAGAAGTATTTGACAAGGCCTTCCGATTCTGACAGACTACAGGACCACCAACACCTCCACCGACTCCTCCGATGTCTCCTCCCTCAACGAGCTTAACAACCGTTATGCACATTTTGAGAGGGGACAGTACAGCTGCAACCAAGGCAGCTATTACTGCAGACCAACAGCCACTGACTCTCCTCTCCACTGATGTAGGAGCGGTCCTGAGCAGGATTAAATCCAACAAAGCCACAGGTCCTGGTGGCATCCCTGGATGTGTCGTCAGAGTGTTCTCTGGGGAGCTGGTAGGATGCTGACGAACATCTTCAACCTGTCCCTGGCCAACACTGTGGTACTGACCTGCTTCAAGTCCACCTCCATCGTCCTGATCCCCAAGAACTCCACCCCATCCAGACTCAATGACAAACGCCCGGTAGCCCTCAATCCCATCATCACCAAGTGCTTTGAGTGGCTGGTTCTAGACATCCTCAGATCCTGTCTCCATCCCCGCACTGGAAACCCACCAAATTGCATACAGGCAGAACAGGAGCACAGAGGATGCAGTCTTCATAGCGCTGCACTCTGAATAGTAACAACACAACAGTAGAACACTTAAGCCAGAATGCAGTTCATAGACTATACTGCAGCATTTAACACTGTCATTCCATCAAAACTCATTACGAAACTCACAGACCTTGGCATCAGTCCACTCATGTGTAACTGGTTTCTTGACTTTCTGACCAGTCGGCCCCAACATGTCCGGCTGGACAACCATCTCTCAACCTCCATCACCATAAACACCGGATGGCCACGAGGCTGCAAGTTGAGTCCCTTCCTCTACTTCCTCCTCACCCACGACTGCAGACCTGTCCATGGCTCCAACACCATCACTAAGTTTGCAGACGACGCCACAGTGATCGGCCTCATTAGAGACAAAGATGAGGCCACCTATATGAGGTGGACCATCTAGCTGAGTGGTGCGACACAAACAACCTGCAGCTGAACACCAAAACGACCAAGGAGCTCATCGTGGACTTTAAGAAGAATGCTAACCCACATCCACCCATCCACATCAAGGGGATAGTGGTGGAGCGTGTGGACAGCGTCAAGTTCCTGGGAGTCCACATCTCTGAGGCCCTGACCTGGACGACCAGCTGTTCCAAACTCATCATCAGATTCTCTTCTTCATGAGGAGCCTGAAGATGAGCTATCTGTCCTCAGGGATCCTCAAAAACTACTACCACTGCACCATTGAGAGCATCCTCACCAACAGCATCACAGTTTTGTGGGGTAACTGCTCTGCCTTGAACCGGAAGGCATTGCAGAGGGTGGTGAAAACTGCCCAGTGCATCCCCGGCGCAATGTTCCCTGCCATCAAGGACATCTACAGGAAGCGGTGTATGAGAAGGGCTGGGAAAATCACTAAAGACTTCACTCACCCTGCACTCACACTCCTCTCACACCTGCTCTCTGGAAGGCATTACAGAAGCCTACGGACTGGAACCACCTGGCACTGGAACAGCATATTCCCCACAGCTGTCATGCTCCTGAATGCCTCCTGAAACCAACTATAAGGACTTCTATTCTATTCTATTCTATTCTATTCTATTCTATTCTATTCTATTCTATTCTATTCTATTCTATAGATCCAGATCCTGTACAAGTTTAAGCTATAGGTGTAAATCACAATGTGGGGAAAATTACACTGCTTGGGAGAGGTCTGTGCACTCCGCATGTTTTTTCTAGTTCAAAATACATTAACCAACACATTCTCATCTCTATGCTTCAGCCTTGTGGAGACATAAGGAATTTATTGTGAAGGTCCAATATTTCTGACAATTCTGTCACTTTTTAGTAGCAGAATGTTCCTTTCCTTTAACACGTTATTATCAGATGATCTATTGATATATTTTTAAGAATTTTGTATTTTTTTGTAATCTCTGCATTGCATCAATGGCACTCTTCCAAATATGACAAGACAAGCCAAGTTTATGTGTGTAGCACAGTTCTATACATAGATCATCCAAAGTCCCTTTGGATGATCTATGTATAGAAGCAAAATAAAAGCAGAATGAAAGCAAATGAAGATAAACATATGATAAAAGAAGTAAAAAGTTAAAAAGTAGAAGTAAAAAAAAAAAAAAACGAACAAAAGAAAAAAACCGTTGGACCACAAACTTAAATCAATGTCTCAGTTCACTGAGGTATCAATTGTGGTTGGAGGAGAGCACAATTTCTCCCTTAGGGTAAGCTCCCTAATACTTTAGGTCTAAAACATATCTACACATCTTGTGAGGAACTGAGAGGTCATGTGAGACAGATTTCACCAGTGCAAAGTCCTACTGAGGTATGCCTGCTGGTTGGTCCCTTTTACTTAGGACTGAGTATTCTCTGTTAGAATGTGTCTCCATTGAGGTAAGAAGAATGTGAGAAGTTTAAATTCTGCCTGCAACTCCAATTTATATACTTTGTATAAAAACTACAAATATGTATGTTAAGTTGATTTTTTTCTCTGCTTAGTCTGAAAATGCTTGTCTAGAAAAACAAATCTAATTATTGCGGATAATTCATACAGGCAGAACTGGTGTTGATGTGATGTTTGGCAACTATTGTACACCTACATGAAAAATAGAAAATGAAAAGTCGAACATTTTGTCTCTCATTTCAGAAAGTGAAATGAATTCTCTAAACAGGGTGGAAACTTTAAATCCTTTTTTTTTTTTTGCGGAAGGCATAATAAAAACCTTACATTCAGAATTGTCATGATTTAATTAAAGATTTGAACCAAATGCAGAAGACCAAACAGAGAAACCAGGGAAAAGTTTAGCAGGTTTATTTAGTATAATGAGAGGAGTCCAGTGCTGCTCTGAACACTGTCAAAACGGAACTGGAAAGTGAGGGGAAGACACTGCAGTTAGTTCAGGCTCAGTGGGAAATTAGATTCTTTGACTTGAAGAGGAGGAATAGGTTGCAGACTCACGGTTCCAGAAAAATTTGTCTTTTATTGAATCCAGTCAGTGTGGGATGTTCCAGTGATTATCTTGTTTGATGGTGGGAGGACAGGGTTTACCCAGATTGCGGTTGTTTCTTGGTGAACGGAGAAGCTGACTGCCACTTAGATTTCCTGCGGTACTTGAATGGCTTACTGTGTAGATGAGTCCCCTGCTCAGAGAGAAGCCCCAGACAATTATTTTGGGGAAAGGTTGATCCAAACCACAAACTTGAATCCTCAGCTCAGTTTGGTTCTCATAAGATCCTTCCAGGGGAGAGAAGGTCCGAAACATCCAGTTTGCAGGATGACTTCCTGCCGAGAGGCAAAGACAAAAACAGCAAGGTTAAAACTCAGGTAGACAAAAACTCAGTTTGACTCAGCAAAACTCAGCTTGGCTAGAGTACCCAAAACTGGCAAACACTTTGGCGTCGAGGTAGTGGCAGTCAGCGGCTTAAGAGCGCTCCACAGGTAATGAGGCAACACGCTGCAGGTGTGCAGGGAGGCCCAATGAGGATGGGGCACCACCTGGTTGAGGAGGAAAGGAAACACAAAAACAGACCACACAAACTGGATTCCTGGCAAGGATGTTTCTCAAATAAATATATTTTTTACAGAAATGCCAGTTTTCTGAAAAGTATGTTAAGTTCTACAAAATCAGTTCTTGTTGGGATTGTTTTTAAATAAATTGGTGTATTGTGATCTTGACTGTATCTCTGATTCTGTAATAAGTTCAAATCAGCTTAGTGTGCTGGCCAAGCACAGTAACACCTATGCTTTTAAACCAGCTTTTGTTCAATTTAATAGTGCGGACAGCTGCTGAAAAACAAAACCAGCATCTTCATAAAATCTGTATTAAGAAGTAAGTATGTATACTGCAAGATTAATGTCTTAACTCAACTGAAAAAAACAAAACAAAACAATAACAACAAAATACCAACACCAGCATATGACATACACCATAAATCATCTGAATGTGCAATCTTTCCATTGGACTTCAGACTGCATCAATCCTGGGCCTCTCAAAAAGAAAAAATAAATTACCCTGGCACCTTGATTTCCGTATCAAAATGCAACCTTACTTCACTTGAAGAGGGATTTTGTAACCAAAGAGCAACAGCCCGGTCCCAAGTAAAACACTTTTAGCGCTTCTGTAGGATTCGCCTGTTCTTTGTGGTGCTTAGTGCACTGACTCCCAATTCAGTCGAGTCCTTTCGAGCCGCAAATACTTGAATGAATTTTGTTGGAAAGTCGTCTCAAGGATGCGGGTACAACTATTGCTAGAGCCTCTTTTAAACAAAGCTTTTCCTTTCATCAAATTTTCAGTAATTGTGCATAGGTGCACCTTTATGTAATCAGCCAGTGGTTTATTCTTGATTTGAACAATGACTGTCTAGTAGAAATCTGTCCAGTCAGAAGTCGGAGCCATAATTTGTAGCCCACTGGCCTAGAATAAGCAATCATTTAAATGCTCAGGAAACTTTTGCTGGTGTTTTGAGTTTATAAGCTGATTTGTGTAAATTGGTTAATAATCGTTTCAGGTTACTCTGGTTTTCTATGGCATAATTGGACCTTTTCATTACACCAGCAAACATTATCAAGAAACAACTTTAGACTCAATGTATCAAGTTATTGCCACGTTTTGCAGGTTTTGGGCTGTACAGAGATTCAGACCACAAATACGGATGAGCTCATTGAAATCTATAATAGTAAAAGAGAAAATTGTAGTCCATAACTTTTATTTGTTTAAATAATTTAAGAAATGCTTAAATTTGACTATTTGACTCTGTTTTGCAGGTATCATTGTTTTACACTATACTTCCCCTAGACATTACAGCTGAACCAATCTAAGACTTGTGCCTAGAACTTTGAACAGTTGCTTGGGGATCAGCCTCAAAGAATATTTTACAGTGTAAAAAATGATTTTACTAAATGTGATTAAAGAATTTACAATCTTCTTACAGAACAAGAATGAACAATGAAATGAAGAAAATACAAACACAATGAAATTAAACTGAAACACCAATCTCCAAATCTTATCTTTATGTAATATATGAAGGACATTTCTCATAGGTTTTAAAACAAATATACAAATATATAACCCTAAAATTTTGAGATTTATCCACAAATAGCACATGAGAAGGGATTTATATAGACTTCCCAAAGTTTCCGGATTATTTTTTGTGAATTAATGCATGAACTGCCCACGAACGAACAGTTGTTCCCAATTCATGTAAAACAACACATTTCTCTGATCTTGCAGAGCATTTATTCACCCTAACTGTCCTTAATGTTTATATATCATCTTTTATTAGTGGTTGAGGTGGAACGTTCACAGAGGGTGGAAAATAAAGATGATAATCAGAAAATGTGTTAAACATAAGATATATTTAATTTAAATATTAAGGCAAAAGTAGTGAAAACAACAGAAATAACCTTGGAGTATGAGTATTTGTTTTGGTACATAAAATATAAGAATTATTGTGGTTATTGTGTGATAACTATAAAAACATTAAATGTATGTGATAACTTTTTCCATACCATTGAATGATGTAAGTCTACTAATGACAAATTCTCAAGTCTCTCTGCCCTCTTTGCGAATAACCTCTCCAGCTGATTAAACAAGCAAACAACGAATAAGTAACAACTTTTATGCCTTAGTGTACAAAGCTGATCTACGTCTTAATCAGAGGAAAGATGTATGCCTGAGTTAACTCCTTTGATACTTTAAAACCTAATGAGAACCCATGGGATGGCATTATTCTCACTGCCTCATTTGGAAGTGGTCAATAGGTCATTATTACTATCCCTCTGGTGCAATTAAATACACTTTGCTTCCTCAAGGCCATTGTTGAGAATTAAAAAAATAGTTTTTGTTGTTGCACATGGTCAAGAAAAACAGCCTTGACATACAAAAAAAAACAAAAACACTGAAGTGACTGGACCAACCATTGCTTCTGTTATGACTTGGTTGTTTTTCCTGATAAGAAAATAAATTGTAAGGGAAGACAAACATTTATACTAACAATGTATCAAATTTAAAGTGGCCAAAGGTGAAGTTTCAATATCTGTATTACGCATATTTAAAATTCAGGTGCAATTTTGACTACAAAAATGTTTGCTGTCATTGTGGCTCTACAGACAGACAGATGACAGTGGGAGAGTCTGCTTTTTGCTTGTCAACATATTCGAACAATCAAAGATAAATAAATTCAGGACAATTCCTCCAGTAATCATAGTTGTCTGCTGCATGTTTAACTGCATTATACATTGAATCATGCTTAAAAGAACAGCGCATTTATAGCCACCTAAGGACAAAACAGCTTTATGTAGATCATTAACAGAGAAAAAAAGGAACAAAAAGCATATGTGCGCACTAAATATGTTTTTTATGCCAGGCTGATAGGTGGTGGGCTGGAACTGCCACAAAGATCAAGATTGTAGAAGATGGAATAAGGGACTAGAAGGTAAACAATGGCCCAATACCAAACCACCCCCTATCCACTGCTCCTTAGCTCCTATAGAGTGTAACTTCCAATGAAGTCACACTCTAAACTAAGAAGGGTGCCTTGATTGAGGAACAGCCTCTTCCCTCCAACAAAGAAGGAAAGCAGTTGTTGCTAATTCATGTCAAGCTGCACCACAGAGCTACAGCCATGCATGTGGGGCGTCCCTGTGTTGCCATAGCAATGACTGCATACCTTTGGGAGGGTAGAGTGCGCCCCATTCTAATTTTTCCCCTTGACCTTCAATCAAGAACCCCGCACAGTGAGTATCACTTCATTGGGAATGACACTCCATAGTTAAGGGGCAATGCCTATGGTGCGGTTTGAGATTTATGCCATGCAGACTTACTATTTATGGGCTGAACAGTCCACTCACCCTACCTACTAAGGGTTTAGTGCTTAGGGGAAGGGTTTATGGGCTTGTTTATGAGTTGTGAAATTAATGCAGAAGAAAGAGAAAAAACATTTTCTGGACAGATGTAGAAGAATCACAAGTAGTAAATAAAACCAACAATAAATTCCATAGCTTCTAAAACAGAAAAGAACCCTAACTCTAAAGTACGTTGAAGTAGATACTTGTGTTGGCACATGCATGTTGTATAAAGCACGTTAACTAGAAAGAGGTTGGGGAATTGCTAAGGTAAAAACAAAAGTATGTTTTATTCTGTGGTAATATGTAGAAATGTGCCATTAAAGGGTTAAACAGCCTGTTCCCTACAGCCAACAGCTCTGCAGCTGCAATAACAGAAACCCTGACATCAGAGGCAGCTTTCATCGAGTGTAAAGAGCTTCATCAGGCCACTTCTATTAATCTGTAACCTTTTTTGTCCATGTTATATAATGTTAAAGTCTAATCTTAACTCATCTACAAAATGTTGATTGTTTCACTGCTTATATATTTTTTCTTAATTCTAGGAAGTTTGGGACGTTAAACTAAGACTGGACTTTGCAGGTGACTGAGAAAGGTTTGAAAATAAGTCTGTTATGCAGTAACTATAACAGAGAGGGAAAACAAAGAGAAGCAACTGCTTGCAAGAGACAACAGACGAACTTTGCTCCCTAGTCAGAGACTGCTTTGTGGGGGAGATCAGAAAAACTACAAGGGACGACAGATAAGAAATAGTATTTGAAAAGACATTTCAATGGCGTACCGACTTTTTGAAGGAAAGGAACATGCTTCCATCTACCAGCAGTATCGTTTCACTCCTCCCTCTGGCCTCAAGGATATCATTATTCAGTACTTGGACAAAAAGGTAGGACTTGTCAGTAAAAACTTTGGTGTTTGAAATTATGTTTTAACTAGAGATTCACTGATCCTGTATTAATATCCGTATCGGTCCTGATATAGAGAAAAATTCTAGATGATGTGTCGATGAAAGGGCCTGATCCACAGGAGCAGATCTTTTTAGTCTGTTTCTATAATAAATCACATATTACCTTATATTTGTTTTCAGGTTGGAGTTTGTCCTGTTAACACAATTTACTGTTTTAATGACTTTTTTCTGACCTTACTGTAATCTCCAGTTGTTTCCTTTTGGCATATACATATTATACTTGCTTGAAGACAAGAGTTTATGACAGACTTTAAAAAAGTAAACATTAATTATGAGCAAAATATCAGGAACTGCAGCTATCCAAATTAAAGTACTGAATTGGATCAGAGATTAAAAAATGTGGATCAGTGCATCCCTACTGTAAACGAAGTATATAGCCCTTTGAAGCTACTTATCATCCGTTTCCTTCTACAGAAAGGACGGCCGCATCTGCTTGCTGTAGATCTGGGATGTGGGACGGGTCAGCACAGTCGGCTGCTTGCACCGCACTTCAAAGAAGTGGTCGGCATTGATATCAGCGATTGCCAACTGGAGGAGGCCCGTGCCGTGCCAGGATACACTAACATCACATACCGGTAAGCAGGTGTTAATGCTTCTGTATATAAAGAGCTTTATTCACAAGTGATGGCGTTCTTTTCTTGTATGAAATAACATTGCATGCAAGTTGATTAATGCGCTAAACAACTGCACAGCCAGTTAAAGCTTCTGCCTTTCCACACTAATGCTTTCACTGCATGAAAAGTGAGATTTTCGTCCCCGTAAACCCCCGTAAACTCCCGCAGATCTGCCTGATTTTCGTCAGTTTCCGACAATTTGCAACCCGTGCTTGTCCGCGTTTGTCGTGCCACAAATTGTCGAAAACGTACCGTGACGTATGTGGAGAGCGATCAGCTGTACTAATGGCCCTAATTAGCATATGAATGCAGCAAACCCGCGCGGCTGGCCAGGTCTGGCTTGAATAACCTTCCCAGTATTGGCTGAAACCACTATTCTCAAACAAATGAAATCGCTCGTGATTGGCAGCAAAACCACACGTGGCCACGCCAGGCTTTAATTTTCTTACTGAGTATTGGACGGAACCACTTCTTTTTAAACAAGTAAAGTCGCTCGTGATTGGTTGGCATATATATATATTTACATATATATATTTATTCATATATATATATATATATATATATTTATTTATTCATTCATATATTTATTCATTCATATATTTATTCATTCATATGGTGTGTATTTATGTTATCCTACACTACTACACAATTATTATGCTACCATCAAGGACATGAATGAATTTATACAGGAAATGAAGATTTGCCAGGAAGCTGTTTATGCAAAGAAAGAGCTTTATTGAAACACACACAACTATATACAACGCGTATCCAAACACATGCGTTTCTAAAAATTAAAAGTCCATGAACGGTCCGTTTGCTTCCTCGGGGTTGGTGGTAACTGGCAGCATTCCCTCCGAGGCAGGTCCGATGTGCAGACGTCTACTGTGCGTGGCCCTGTACTTCGGCATCGCTTCTAACCGGGACTGCAGCTTAACACAGAGTTCAGTGAGATCCGGCCTACGAAATGGCGGCGACCGTACAATCCATCCAGAGACACCGCTGACGACGGCGGACTTCCAGAGTTCCACTTCCTCATCTGCTAGCACATTCTGCCTCGCTTTCAGCAGCTGAAAAAAAAAACAATGAATCAGCGCACTGCGTATGGACACAACACATCTATTAATGCACCTGAAAAATAGTCACCAAATAAAGTCTTACCCTCTTTCTTCTGGCCCGACTCCGAGCAGATAGCCTCCGCACGCAGCGTGTGGCTGCTGCGTATATCTGAAGCTCCTGCGTACCGTCTGAAAATACGTCTTACAGGCAGCTGGAAAACAATTAAATGAGAGCGGTATAAATAAAAAATCAAACGCAAGTCACAGTAACAAGGAAGGAGAAAACATTAAAACAAGTCACTTACACACAATGTCGTCTTTATCATCATCGTGCAAATCTGGACTTGCTGATTATGGCTCCGAGCAAATAGGAGGTCTGTGAAAACAAAATGTTAAGCTATGATCGGTATCCATTACCTTTTACCGCAGAATAAAAGCATATTCTTTAAATCTTACCCTTGCTCCGGTTCATAGCGCCTGCAATTAGTCTCCGAGTTGTTAAGACGGCGTACTGCTACCTGTAAATCACAAAAAATACACTTTAATAAAGCTTGTTCTTGCAAGGCTAGGCTAGATAGGCTAATAGCTAGGCTGCTATTAGCCATAGCTCAGGCTAGGCCGCTTTTAGCTTAGCAGGCAGTAATCGAACATATATTTACCGCTAGCATCTCTTCTTTGAGTTCGTCTTGTTCGATGCAGAGTCGCCATCGCGTCCAAGAGGAGTTTTACCCCGAAATCCCACATACTCCGTCTGCGCTCCGCTCCGCTCCGCCCCGCTGCGCTCCAGACCGCCTGCACAAAGCAAAGCCTACAGCCGCCGCTGTTGCTCCGTCCCCTCCGCTCTGAGTTCCTTGGAGATCGTAGAGGGCATGCGCCAGATGAACCAGGGTTTCCGCGGATCATTAAAAATAATTACAATTCATAATTCTTTTTTTAATCAAGCCCTTAATTGGCACTAAAATTAATTAAATATGTTTATCGTTGCATTTATGATTCTTTAATAAATGGCATTTTATGGCATTCTTTAATTATGGCATATTAAAAAAATCCCACCATCATCCAGCACATGTTCAGTTTCTGCCCAAATGTATATTTATATTTTTGTAGATTTTTGTAACGGGGATAAGGATAATTCAAAACTGCTTTTTTTTAATGAACTTGTTCACTACTTCCAAACTCAGCATCTCTTTTCATTCATGTAATAAGAAGTTTCTTTTGAATGGATTTGATTAAAGTTTAATTCCCTCGGTATAAAATAAATATTTTGATGGAGATGAGAAATCTGCTTCCTCGTTGGTGAATAACCAATAGTTTGGATCCAATCATTTAAATAAACGGTGTTAGTTTTTTTTTTTTATATATATATATATATATATATATATATATATATATATATATATATATATATATATATATATATATATATATATATAAGAATTGTGCTATAATTTCTAGTCACCGATCTGTTGCTGCTATATTTTAATTTGACGAACCGGAATTTGTCGATGTTCTTTTTCCTGTTTGGTGCAATTGCAATTGCGGATCTTGACCTGGCCGGACCTTATGACCACAGTGTACCAATCTTCTGATGGCTACTTCCAACAGGATCATGCGCCATGTTATAAAGTGAATCATCTCAGACTCATTTCTTGAAACTTTTCCACTTAAGTAATTGTGAATTGAACATATTGACAGACAATATTTTATTTTTTATCTTAAATGCAAATTTTTTTTTAAATAATTACTGCTCTAAATGTATTGCACTGTCAGCTAAAGATCTGTTTTGGTCTCTATACTTTAATTAAATAAATCAATTCAAGCTAAAATGTGAGAGGCTATATTGAGCCTGATCTCTTTGTATCAGAGATTTTCTTCCTCAGAAAGATGTCACTTGGGGTAAACCCCCCCCTGCAACCCTGGTTTGCATTTGTATAGCTCACAGCATGTTCATTTACATGTTAAAGCCTCCCCTAGAATTCCATGGGGGGGAGGCATGGGGGGAACACTGCCTAAGAAATTCCACGTCAATTTCTGACAATTTACGGGAGTTTTCGACGAAGCCTGCAAATTGCCGTAAACTGCCGCTAACCTGAAGTTCCACGACAATCTACAGTGCCGTATATTGACGAAAATCCCACTTTTCATGCAGTGTTTACTGCTTGTCTTTCTGTAACTGATCAGAAGACTAGAAGATCATTTTTTAATATGGCAGTTCAATCAATTTCTGTTGGGAGCTGGAGAAAATTTCTCCAGCAGAGTCCGCCGTGGATCCTCTGAGGGAGCCTCCTGCACAGGTGCAGCTCATCAAGACCATCAGAGGATCCACTACTTAAGCTGCCTTCAGACCTTACCTCAACGCCGCAGTGTTGTTCCAGTTGGTCAGCGCTAAAGCCTTGATCTCAGTGATTTTTCCATGTCCTTAATCCCGAGTCAGATTCTAACGTTTGTCTCTGTGCCTCTAGGTGACTCGAGCTTCCTCCGTGAAAGCTCTGGAAGAGCTAACCTGCCGAGCCGACCCTCCGAGCCAAACCCTGAAGATTCTCAGTCAACCTCTAAGCAGCTCTGGATAAGAGCTAGGAAACCCAAGCCAAGGTCTGTTCCAATTGGACGTGAGACGCTGAAGCAGCTACGGACTCTGCTAACACATCCTTCTCCAGAACCAACAGTGACTCTCCCAAGGAGAACCTCAAGAACCCTCAAGGTACTATCAGAGCACCATTGGAAAGCAAAACCCCGTCAACAGTCCTTAACTGTGCTGTCTCTCACGCAGACCCCGGTGAAACCAGATTCCAGGCCCGAACCAGTCATCGACATATTGTGTGCTTATGCAAATAAACTTGTTAAACTTTTCATCCTGTGTCCGTCAGTGGTGTTCTGCATCTTTGGGTCTCCATTAGAGAACCGATCATGACAGAACACTGCGGCCAAACTCAAGGCCCAGCAGATCACCATCTCCGTCGGCTAAACGAACAGGCTGCTCAAATCCAAGGATTCAGCCAGGCCTTACGTGAGTTAAATGCACATATTGAAAGACAGAACCAAGCTATTCAAGGCTACGTTAACTACTTCAATGGCGCTAATGCTACATCAGCACAGCAACCATTTCCGGGTCCAGTTCCTCCCCCGAGGTCACAACCTGTGACGTCATCAGAGTTCCGTCCTAGTCTCCCAGAAAAATTCTCTGGTAACATGAAAGATTGTAAGGGTTTTTTATTCCAGTGCCGGCTGATTTTTCTGAACTCTCCTAGTTGTTTTTCTTCAGACCACAAGAAGATATCGTTCATCCTCTCTCTGTTAACAGGAAGAGCTTTAGATTGGGCTCAGGCAAGATTTGCCATCGACGACGGTGTAAATTGCCGTTTTTCTGACTTTATTGCTGAATTTTCCCAGGTATTTAACCAGGAGACGGACCAAACGATCGATTCCAGAGCTCTTTTCAACCTTAAACAAGGTAATTCTTCTGTGGCTGATTTCTCAATCAACTTCCGGGTTAAAGCGGCAGCTTCCGGATGGAACCAGAGCGCTCTAAAGGGAGCATTTTTCATGGCTTTAAATGAACAAATCAAGGATGAACTTGCTACCCTCGATGAACCAGCTTCCCTTGACGATTTTATTTGTCTCGCCATCAGATTAGATAACAGAATTCGAGCCAGAAACACCTCCAAGAAGCAAAGTAATTTTTCCTCTGCCACTCATAACATGGCTGTTCTCTCTCCCTCTACAGAGCAGATGTCCACACAGAGATCTAAGCCACAGACTCTATCGTTGCCTGTTCAGGCCTCTCATTCAGACGAAAGGGATAATGAGCCTATGCAGGTGGGACACACTAGGCTTTCTCCTGAGGAGAGACAAAGGCGTTTTCTTGGAAATCTTTGCATATACTGTGGTGAGAGTGGTCACTTTATCGCCTCCTGCCCGGCTAAATCAAAAGCCGGGGCCCGCCAGAGGATATGAGGAGTCTGGCGGGCCATATAAATTCAAGTAAATCTCCTCGACTTTTGCTGCCAGCTACCTTGTTCTGTAATAACCAGAGTCTCTCTTTCTCCGCCTTCATCGACTCAGGCTGTGAGCGCAATCTAATCGACTCTGAGCTCGTCCAGCAGCTTCAGATTAAAACCATTCCCCTGTCTCAGCCTCTCAGTGTGTCTGCCATAGACGGAAAGAGACTCCATCGTGTTACCCACCAAACCCAGCCCCTCGAGCTACTTCTGTCAGGTAACCACCGAGAAACTATCACCTTTTTTGTGTTTCCTTCTGCATGTTCCCCCTTGGTCCTTGGATTCGAGTGGTTGGAGAAGCATAACCCTCACATAAATTGGACCAAACGTCTCCTGGAATCATGGTCTTCTACGTGCCACGAAACATGCCTTCGTTCTGCTGCCCCGATGGCGGGGCCTCCTAGAGGTGGGGGGGAGATGGACTCTCCTGACCTTTCTTCAGTTCCCTCTGAGTATCATGACTTAGCCCCCGTTTTCAGTAAGGTCAGTGCGACGTCCCTACCTCCACATAGACCCTACGATTGTGCCATAGAACTTTTACCCGGTGCTCCTCTTGCAAGCAGCAGACTGTATAATATTTCCAAACCAGAAAGAGAGACTATGGAGAAATACATCAACGAATCATTGGCCGCTGGAATAATCCGTCCTTCATCCTCTCCTCTGGGCGCCGGTTTCTTCTTCGTGGGCAAGAAGGATGGTTCCCTGAGGCCCTGCATTGACTATCGAGGTTTGAACCAAATAACTATTAAAAACAAATACCCACTGCCTCTTCTCGCCTCAGCTTTTGAACCAGTGCAGGGTGCAACTGTCTTTACTAAGCTGGATTTAAGAAATGCTTATCACCTCCTCAGAATTCGAGAGGGTGATGAATGGAAGACAGCCTTCAAGACACCCTTGGGCCAGTTTGAGTACCTGGTGATGCCCTTTGGTTTGACTAACGCCCCAGCCTGTTTCCAAGCCCTTGTGAATGATGTTCTCAGAGATTTCCTCAACGTTTTTGTGTTTGTTTACATTGATGACATTCTCATTTATTCCAAGGATCTCCATGAACACAAGAGACACGTCCGTCTCGTTCTACAGAGACTACTGGAGAATAAGCTGTTCGTGAAAGCCGAGAAATGTGAATTTCATCAGTCTTCTGTCACCTTTCTGGGGTTTGTGCTCGAGGGCGGCCAGGTAAAACCTTCTGAGGACAAGATCAAGGCAGTCCTAGATTGGCCAGTACCTGAGAATCGAAAGCAATTACAGAGGTTTTTAGGGTTTGCTAACTTCTATCGCCGCTTCATCAGGAACTATAGCCAAACCGCCCTGCCATTAACCTCACTAACTTCTTCCAAACGAGTTTTTCAGTGGACTCCCGAGGCCCAAGCTGCATTCGAGAAATTGAAATCCATGTTTTCCAGAGCACCCGTGCTAATTCAACCTGATCCTTCTAGACAATTCATCCTTGAGGTGGACGCTTCAGATTCCGGTGTTGGAGCTGTTCTCTCCCAAAAAGACGACTCAGATCAAAGAATACACCCTTGTGCCTATTTTTCCCGTAAGCTTTCCTCTGCTGAACAAAATTACGATGTGGGTGATCGTGAGCTCCTGGCAATCAAACTGGCGTTGGAGGAATGGAGGCATTGGCTGGAAGGAGCTGAGCATCCGGTCCTTGTGTGGACTGATCACAAAAATCTGGCTCATATCCAGTCAATCAAACAAGCTAACCCTCGCCAATCCAGGTGGTCCATCTTTTTCTCCAGATTCAACCTCATTATCACCTACAGACCCGGATCCAAGAACGTGAAGCCCGATTCTCTCTCTCGTCTCTACTCTGCCGATCATCCAGAGACACCTGAACCTGTCCTCCCAGCCTCATGCACCGTTGTAGTGGTCAACTGGGAAATAACGGACCTAATCAACTCAGCCCTAGCCACCGAACCAGATCCAGGTACCGGTCCGACTAACCGCACATATGTTCCCTCTTCTGTCAGGTCCCGTCTGATCCAGTGGATGCACGCCGCAAAATTCTCCGCCCATCCAGGAGTGAGTAGGACTGTCGCTCTCATCTCCAGGCGCTTCTGGTGGCCCACGCTCCATCGTGATGTTAGAGAGTATGTGTTGGCCTGTCCCATATGTGCTCGCAACAAGGCTTCGCATCAACCTCCTTCTGGTCTCCTTCAACCTCTACCTGTTCCCTCGCGTCCATGGTCCCACATAGCCATTGATTTCGTCACCGGTCTCCCTGTCTCCCGAGGTATGTCCACCATACTAACCATTGTCGACCGTTTCTCTAAGTCTTGCCATCTAGTCCCCCTGAGAAAACTTCCCACGGCCTTCCAGACAGCCCAGCTTCTTATCAAACATGTGTTCCGGCTTCATGGCATCCCCCAGGAGATTCTATCGGACAGAGGTCCCCAATTCATATCCCAGGTATGGAAGGCGTTTTGTTCTGCGCTCGGCTGCAAACCATCTCTCACCTCAGGTTACCATCCCCAAACGAATGGCCAGACCGAGCGTATGAACCAGCATCTGGAATCCACTCTCCGCTGTCTAACGTCCAATAACCCGGTGGATTGGAGCCTATACCTTCCCTGGATAGAGTATGCCCACAACTCTCTCCGTTCTGCATCCACTGGACAGTCGCCCTTCCAGGTCAGTCTTGGATATCAACCACCTCTTTTCCCCGCAGATGAGAGAGAGATATCGGTGCTGTCCGTTAATCATCACATCTGTCGCTGTCGAAGGATTTGGAGGGAGACCATTGCCACACTCAACCAGTCAGCTGAATCAACCAAGCGTTTCGCTGACGCCAAGAGACGCCCCGCCCCTGAGTATTCTGTGGGCCAGGAAGTGTGGCTTTCCACTCGAGACATCCCCTTGAGGGGGATGTCTCGAAAACTTTCCCCAAGATTCATAGGCCCATTCAAGATCTCCCGTGTCATCAACCCGTCAGCTGTCCGTCTCCAACTTCCTCCTTCCCTCCGAATCCATCCGACCTTCCATGTCTCCCAGATCAAGCCTGTTTCCTCGAGCCCCTTGTGCCCGCCATCCGACTCCCCACCACCCGCCCTGGAAGTCGATGGCCATCCAGCCTTCACGGTCCGCCGTATTGTAGACTCCCGTCGACGAGGTCGCGGTTGGCAGTACCTCGTCGACTGGGAGGGCTGCGGACCAGAAGATCGTCAGTGGGTCCCAGGCTCGTACATCCTCGATCCTGCCCTGATCGAGGAGTACGAGCGTTCCCGTCCTTTCACTTCCTCCGGACCGCCAAGGGGCGGTCGTTGAGGGGGGGTACTGTTGGGAGCTGGAGAAAATACCATTTTTCTCCAGCAGAGTCCGCCGTGGATCCTCTGAGGGAGCCTCCTGCACAGGTGCAGCTCATCAAGACCATCAGAGGATCCACTACTTAAGCTGCCTTCAGACCTTACCTCAACGCCGCAGTGTTTTGTTCCAGTTGGTCAGCGCTAAAGCCTTGATCTCAGTGATTTTTCCATGTCCTTAATCCCGAGTCAGATTCTAACGTTTGTCTCTGTGCCTCTAGGTGACTCGAGCTTCCTCCGTGAAAGCTCTGGAAGAGCTAACCTGCCGAGCCGACCCTCCGAGCCAAACCCTGAAGATTCTCTGTCAACCTCTAAACAGCTCTGGATAAGAGCTAGGAAACCCAAGCCAAGGTCTGTTCTAATTGGACGTGAGACGCTGAAGCAGCTACGGACTCTGCTAACACATCCTTCTCCAGAACCAACAGTGACTCTCCCAAGGAGAACCTCAAGAACCCTCAAGGTACTATCAGAGCACCATTGGAAACCAAAACCCCGTCAACAGTCCTTAACTGTGCTGTCTCTCACGCAGACCCCGGTGAAACCAGATTCCAGGCCCGAACCAGTCATCGACATATTGTGTGCTTATGCAAATAAACTTGTTAAACTTTTCATCCTGTGTCCGTCAGTGGTGTTCTGCATCTTTGGGTCTCCATTAGAGAACCGATCATGACAATTTCATGTTCAAATAACTGATCTGACTTAAACTTAAGTGAATATAATGTAACGAAAGTAATTTCGCCCTGGGATCATTAAAGTATTTCTGATTCTGATTCCTGGTTGATGGGACAGGTGTTGTGAATGAAACGGTGCCTAGTTTGAAAGAGCCCCTGTGTGTTACTGAATGTGTGCATTGATGGCTGAAAGACATCTTCTGCCTCCATTTATCTGTTTACTACGGTGTGTTGAATTCATGTTAATGTATATTTAAAGACATTTCAATTAATGGAAAAAATTGAAGGGGGATATGAAAAAAAGTCTAATCAACCAAAACTTTTGCAACCCCCATGCAGTACCTCAATGGACCCCCTGTTGAAGACCTCCGCTTTATGTTATGTTATGTAATTCCTTTATGTAATTCTTGCATTGATTTACACATATAGACGGTAAAACATTTACTTTTGGTCTGGAGAAACTGAATGAGCAAATCAAATAAGAAAAACACAGTTGAATGGATGTTGCTCTGCACTAATGTTAAGTTATAGCATGTTGTTCAACAGCTCTCTGTCCTTAACCCTGTTTCCTTGCTTTCTCTCTTTGAAGCCTAGATATTGATTCTATTGTTATTCACTCGTCTCCTTGTTGCATTTGCAGTAAAGGGACAGCAGAAGAGCTTCCTTTTGAGAACGGCACTGTAGACTTGTTAACAGCAGCTTCTGCAGCACACTGGTTCGACCAGTCCAAGTTTCTACTTGAGGCCAATCGGGTCCTTAAACCAAGGGGCTGCATGGCTCTGCTGGGCTTTACAGACAATAACATCAGATTCACCTATAAGGATTGTGGAGAAAAACTAAATGGCATCTACCAGGAGGTAGGTGTAAACTTAAAAACATCTGGTGTTTATAGTTGAAGCTCAACCGAATGATCTGTGTTGTCTATAACAATACAGTAATAATTGATGGCTGTGAGGGATTTGCACAAACCAGCAAGAAAACCACTGAAAATTTTCAAAAAAAGGTCTTAATTTATTTTAAAAAAGTGTTCAACAAATGATAACAGGGCCCAAACACAAATAAAAAAAACACACACACACTTCAAATGAGGTACTAACATAAAGTACTCAAGCACAAATTGACCTATCAAACAAGACATGAGGGAAACTTAAATAGTTGCTGATCAGATAACTGTTGACACACAAGGAGGATAACTGACTGACAAACTAATAAACTTAATTAAACAGATAACAACTAGCCAGACACTAAGTACTTTTTAAATTTAACAAATTAACAAAACTACCCAAAACTAAGAATATCTAAACAAATGATAAAACAAATTTCCCTCATTGCAGCCCTCCAGCAGCAGATCCAAAGGAAACTCGAAAAAGAAATTAATCAATTGCATTTTAACAAAAATCTAACAACCTTAAGTTAAAAAAATGTGTGCACTACAAATAGTTAACTTAAAGTCGGGCTAATGAAAATATTTGAAAAGTGCAACTCATTTTGAAAATGAAACATAAAAGTTACATCACAGCTTTAGAATGTGACAGCAGGCTGTCATAATGGCTTATTTTTGCAACAGATGTTTTTGTTTGCATAAACCTTTAAAAACATAATAAATGCTGACTGTCTGTGTCAAATATTTTTTTTACATACCAAGAGTAGCAAGCCATCATTGCATTTGCCATTGTAAGAACTTCAATTCATTCTATTTATATAGCACCAATTCACATCATGTATTTTCAAGGCACTTTACATTAACAATTCATCAAGCAGTCCAGAGTGATTCAAAGTTTTCTATCTAAGGAAATACAGCTGATTGCATTAAAGCATTGACTTTGCAGGATTCACTCTTTCTGGATCAGCCTACGGTGACAGTGGATATTCCCTTGCATTGTGCCGACCACAGCAAGCCCTCACTCTGAACACACATGTAGCAGCAGTGCAGAGAAAAAAACTCCCTTTTTACAGGACAAAACCTGCAGCTGAACCAGGCTCAGGTTGACTGGGGTTTAAGAACAGATGACATACAAAAGGAATATAGAGGCACTTATCCATAGATGTTTCTGTTATTTCTAAAAGTTTAATGGTAAATTGACTCCAAAAAACAGTTTATCAAAAAGCTTTAAGCCATTCATTCGGCATCATGCAAGAAGCATTTCTACCAACACAGTTTTTCTTAAATTGTTCATACAAGTGATTTAGGGGGAAAATGTTGCATTCACCATTTTTGTCCGATTTCTATATCTTCTCTCAGGTACAGATTAATTTTAAGAGTGCTCCAGACTTAATGCAGAATTTTTTTTCGCAATCATTCAGCTGTAATACAAAATTACTTTTTCACTAAATGACCACATTTGTTGTTTTTGAGAAACAGTTCTCAATTTTATTAGGCTGTATCACTTATCCTCACACATGAATAAATCAAGTTTGCACATAGCTGCTGTTTTAATTATTAATATAGTTAAAAGAATAACTGTCCCGAACTTTTTTAACTCCTGAATGTTTTTATTAAATAAATGCCATGATTCTGAGGCTTTTTTTAAAGCTCTAAACTAGTTTTAAAAGGAATGTTCATTTTTAACTGAACCTGGTACAGTTTGAAAGAGAAACATCAATCACAACAGCATTTAATAATGTTTAGACTTTGAGAAAAAAAATAAAAATAAGATGCATTGCATGTCCTTTGCTCTGGGATATGGGACTGATTGTTGATTCTCTGTATTACCTGACCATCAGGTAAAGGAGTTGCTGCGACCCTACACAAGCAACCCAGTTGCTGTATCAGAGAGTAAACTGGAAAGCCTGTACTCTGCCATACCTTTTCCTGACAAGGAGAGGTAATGATCTACAGTTGATTTGGCATTATGAGAACATTTTATCGCTTTACTTCACTTAATTTTTATACAGATGTAGTTCCTATGAGGCTTTATTCAAATTAAACATTTTCATTGTTCTTTATCCAACGTTGATCCAACAGGATTGAGAGTTTTCCGAGCAAATCCATGATCTCAGTCAGAAGGTTGGTGGGTTTTATTAGCAGTTGGTCAATGTACAATTCATTCAAGAGAGAAAACCCTCAAGGAGCTGAAGACCTGCTGAGTAACATTCAAAAGCGGTAATATTCTGTTCTTCATTCAATAACCACTTTCTGATGCCTGTAATTCACATTTTCTTGTTTAGTTCACCTGCATTGAGAAATTATACCTCTGTACAACTAATCTATAAATGATGTATTTGCAGGTTCCTGGATGAAATGGGTGTCACTTCTGTTGATACTGAAATAGAGCGGGAGTGGCAATATTTCTGCATCCTGGCTTCAAAGCCCCTATAATCAACAGCACAGCTTGGATACATGTTTAACAAGAAAATCACTCAGAGACCCTCGAAGGAGAAAATGTTGCCCCATATTGTGACTTACACTTATAGTTAGAACTCACACGTGAACCTGAATAATTACCAAATGTTCTAGTGTCACCTTCTTCAATCACTCTGCACTCTTGTTTGACTTCAAGGAAGGCATGCCCCACCTTTAATGTTTTTGTCTTCAGCAAAATACTTTTGGACTTTCATAATACTTTCTTGGACTTTAGGTCCCCCTAACTCTCTGGTTTAGGGGGGACCTACTTGTTTAGCTAAATAAAGTAAAACAATCCTTTAAAATAAGTCCTGCATCTGGACTATGATAAGGATCATCATTAAAATGTAATGGATGGTTTCTCGGACTGAGGTGCACCTTGGGAAAAATTTTCATTAAAATCTGTTATCAAATTATGAAGACAGACAGACTCGTCTAAAAACATGACCATGGCAGAGGTAAAAACACCGTCAGAGTTAATGGAGGATGTTGCCAATCATAATTCCACCATAGCTAAGAATAATCTACGTATGTACTTTTATACTCAGGTACTCAAGTTTCATATCACCCTTATATATAGTAATTATATGTTTTTTTTAAGAGAATATGGATAATAATGATAAAAAAAATTTCAAAATTATTCTGATCAAAAGTTTACATAAATATGTGTGAATTATTGTATGTCAGCTATTTACATCAATTCATATTTTGAATGCCCATCAGCCTTGAAGCTATAATGTTAGATTTTCAGCAACATCTATTGGTCTGACTGCAGCGACATGGACACAACGTCTCTCCCCTCCAACAAATCAGAGGCCATCATGGTTCAAATTGGGTTCCTCAACATTGCCTCTACCTATTTTGTCAAGTGATGATGATGCTTACTTAAATTAGATCACAGCATCAAGTTCATAAATGCTTCAATATTTGTTTCTTAAGTACATTGACAAGAATAGAAATTAGTATGAGTAAGCATCATTGGTGTAGTGAAGGGGGCTGCGGAGTCAAGCTTTTTAAAATCGAAATGGAAGAAATGTTGATGAAGGATAATGTAGGGAATGCTCTTAAGAGGTTTGTGACAGACTTATATTTTTTTTTTTTTACTTTAGTCGGACCAGCTGATCTCCTCTCTTATCCAGCTCTGCAGCTCAGTCCGCCCACAGGCTCCTCTGATCCTCAGCAGTTCCCTGTCCATCTCCAGCAGTTAGCCTCCAAAGCCTCAGACTGAACTGGAGTAGTTTTCATTTTTTGCCTTAATTTTATCTTTAAGCACTTCAACGCTGTTAAACGAAAGTGAGCTATGGATGGATAGATGGTTGGTTTATTTGTGAGGAATAAAGAAAAGTGCTTTTCAAACCTGGAATTAAGCTAAATTAATCAAATAAAGACATGCATTGTAATTAGAGACATAGTTTATAATGCTGTGTACTAGAGGTGGGCGGATCGATCCCAGGATCGATACTATCGATACCAACGCTGGTATTTATATTGAACAATATTCGTTTAACAAGATCGATACTTTTTATCCTCTCTCGCGCGCGCTGACTGCTGCGGAGTCACCAGTTTCCCCATATGTGTAACAGCACTTTGCTCCCCCTCCCCTCTCCTACAGTCACATGGCTCAGCGGCGCCAGCCAATCAGCGCGCAGGCTTAGCTTGGCCTGCCCACTCAGCACTACGTCACACAGACAACCGCGCTGCCGGTTGCTAGGTGAGTGCTCACTCAGACTTGGATGGAGAGAGAGACCAAAGACCCGCCTCCAGCCTCAGACAGACATCTTTGACCCAAGCGTTTCAGTCCTCCAGAGAATATCCAGGTAGATAACAGTGGTCATCGTCTGCAGCACTTCATTATACATCATATATTACTCAGAAAGTGTAGTTAAGACCTTGAAAAAACCCAGTACATTTATCCCATTAAAAATTGTTAGCTAAAATAAGCTAACATTAGATAATCTCTTATTTATTCCACGATTGAGAACTTTATAGAAAAAAAGCAACAGGCAAGTGCAGCTTAAATGTAAAAAGTATCGGTATCGGTATCGATATCGGCGATACTGACCCAGTATTTACTTGATATCGGATCGATTAAAAAATCCCGGTATCGCCCACCTCTACTGTGTACTGTCTAGTGTGATATAGATGGTACAATGTGCATGATACAGACTGATTGTTTGAATGTTACACTAATTTTTCCAAATAAAATTCATTGTTATTTTGTGTATTTGTTTCTATTTTAACAAACAACTGTGTTCAGATTGTTTTTCCTTTCGTTTGATACATCAATGTTGTTATGTGAAAATGTAGAAGTACCTGACTTTGGATCTGCTTTTGGACTTATATAGAAACTTATGGATATTTTCACTAACTTTTTCCAAAGTTTCAAACAGAAACCATCCAACCTTTTCTTATAACTCACTGAATTCCTCATTTTGACCTGGTTTTCTATTCTGTTTATCACAAACTTATTTCAGATCAAAGAAAAGCACTTTTAAAAATATGCAGAACACAGAAGATTTGTTTTGCTGTTGCCCCATTTAAAGGCCCTCGTTATGAAGCACAGCACGTATGCATGGAGGCGTTAATCCACCCATTCGCCAGCACCCCCACTGCTTTCCCCTTTGTTTAGCCCAGTGTGCTGAATCTGCCGGCCTGCAGAAAGGAATTTGAACCCTGTACATGAGGAGGATTTCTTGTCTTGTCCAGCAGGGAAATTGAATTGCTTGTTTTTACTTCAAACAGCTATGACTTACAGACTTTTTGAAGGTAAGGACCATGCTGCTTCCTACTGGAAGTACAGGATCTCTCCATCAAATCATTTAATCAAGGAAGTTCTGGACTTTCTGGAAAGGCATGTAAGTACAAGCAGTGAACTTGATGCTTTGGATTTATGAGGAACAAATAAAGGATTTCATTTGAAACCATTTAGTATATGCAACTTAATTTTCCCAGGGAAGTCGTCCCTTTGAGCTGGCTTTGGATGTGGGTTGTGGCTCTGGTCAGGGCACACAGCTCCTGTCTAAACACTTTACTTCAGTTGTGGGGACAGACGTGAGTCCTGCTCAGTTGGAGGTGGCTCTCCAGCAAGCTACAGAGCCAAACATCACATACAGGTAAATTTGAATTTACAAACCAAACCTTGTAGACTGATCCCCTCCGGGTCTCCTGATTTTTTCTGCACCGTATTAAAAGCTTCAGTGTACAGAGGAGGCGCCACGTGAAACTTTCAGCCATAAAAACCACATTTAACAAAACTTCTCCCCAGTTTGTAGTTTCGGAAGGACTTCACCACCCAACTTCTTCTTTTACTTTAATTGTTTGTGCTCCATTAAACAAACACTCTCACCACATAGGTAGGCATGTGACAATTTCAAATCTTGCAGTTTCGGCAAATTGTCCCAATTTATTGCCACAAACCAAAGATATTATCATTCAATTTCCATCCAAAATGCTCCCACATTGCAGCTGTTGTGTTCTTCTTTGAAACCAAATGAATCTCTGTGTTTCTAGTATTGCTCTGGCTTTCTGCTCCTCATACATGAGGCCATCATAAAACACTTGCTTTGCTAAGGAAACGATAAGGGGAGGGGAGAGTGCATGGAAGCTCCTAGCTGAAGGCTTTTGTTATCTACACTCTTTAGCAGAAAGAAAGGGAAATACAAAGCAGTGTAGATTTTAGTGGCAAGAGAATTTAGGATGCTACACAGTGCCAAGGGAAAAGTACATTGAAAAAGTAATTCATAATAATAAAATTAAAAACAATTGCATTGGATTACATACTTTAAGTAATGGTGTATAGTCAAAGGCCACTCTAAACAATAAGCATTTAATCTATATCTGAAGAAATTTCTAGCTTTAGTAGGTTAACAGTTTTCAGGAAGTTTGTTCCAGATTAGGGGATCATAAGTACTAAAAACCGCTTCTCTGAGGTGATGTGCTCCACTATATTAGTGTTAGTGAGGACACAGGCAGCAGCATTCTGGATCAACTGCAGTTGACTGATCGACTTTTTAGGCAGACCTGGTAGAACACAGTCTCAGTAATGAGGTGTACTAAATGTAAAGGCATTAATTAGTTTTTACAGGTCCTGTTGAGAGATTACGGTAGGAGATATTCTTTGTCACAGAAGGCTGACCTTGTTGCTGTATTTATGTGCTTCTGAAGTTCCAGGTCTGAGTGCATCACCATCCCTCGATTTCAAGCCTGATTGGGTTTTTTTTTTTATCAGAAGCTGTGTGCAAACTTTTAAACTCCCCCCCTGAAGAATATGTTCCATTTACCCAATGCTTGAATGTGAAAAGAAGCAAGCATGGAAATGTAGACTATCGAGCACATTGACACTTATGCAATTGATTTTAATACGACAGGCCGAACTACAGGAACTGGGTTACAGTAACAAATTTCTTAGTACCTAAATGTTTAACTATCTGAATATATTGTCAGCAATGTCCTTAGTTATGCAGACTGCATACACTGTTATAGCAAAAACAAGCATTTGCAAAATATTGTGCAGCCAAAGGGAAGAGTTGATTGAAGGACAATGATGGACAGGATGATCTAGGAAGTAAACCTTGTGAAGGCTGCAAAAAGCTTAAGACTAGAGCAAATGATCAGCTTCCAGCAGGACAAACACTAGACCTTCAGTCAGAGTTACAATTGATTAAAGCAGAATCACATGTTACAACTAAAGGTCTGACTGAAAATAGGTGACAAGACTTTGAAAAGGATCCAGAGACTATAAAATCGTAGTTTTTTTCTTTTTTTTTACAGACAGCAACAAATCTGAAAATGTAAAACCTTCTAAAAAGCATACTCTTTCATTAAAAAAGAAAATAATTTTTGTTTGCAATGTGAAAGGACAAATGATTCAGGAGGTTTGAGTAGTTTTGCTGTACCGTCGCATTTCTCGTTAACCTCTCGCTGAGCTGGAATGGGAAATATTAGCGCATATATGAGCATCTCTGTATACTGACTTTCATAGGTCAAGGTCAACACTGTTGGTGTCTAATACTTGTGTTTTCAGAAGTGCTGCATCCACCTCCTGCATGTATAAAAAGCCCCTTCTAGCTGAAAGTCTTATTTTTCTTTCCCCTCACAATTTATCTTTAGACAATGTGCGGCCGAGGAGCTGCCCTTTGCTGACAGCTCAGTGGACCTGGTGACGGCCATGTCTGCCTTTCACTGGTTTGACAGGCCACGGTTTCTGAGTGAGGCCCACAGGGTCCTGAAGCCCCAAGGCTGCTTGGCTCTGCTCAACTACACAATTGAGATGGAGCTCAGCTACCAGGACTGCTGCAAACACACACTAAACCAAGTTTGCAAAGAGGTAAATCAAAATGTTTTATATGAAACAAACATACATTGACAAGAAACAAAACAAAAACAGGACCCCCCCCCCCCCCCCCCCCCCCCCCCCACACAAAAAAAAAAAGCTATCAGTTGATTTTTCAGTAATGGAAAAGTATTTTTTTTCAATGCTTAATTATTTGCTGTTGTTATTATAGTATAAGTTTAGATGGTTTATGTTCGTTCACCTAACTCTTTAAGACTTTAGTTTAGATTTTTTGATATAGAGTTGTGTTTAAGACCTTTCACAGTTGTGGAAAAAAAGCGAAACGAAAGGTTAGCTTCATTAACAGATATTACTTCTCTAAAGGTTATAGCTACAAGTTTTTTTTTTTTTTTTACCAAAATTATGAATTTTTCCAAAACAAAACAACCACAGAACATCTAGATTGAATCTGAAGAAAAACATTAATTTTACTTAAAAAAAAAAAAATGGTATGTCAATAACTGTTTTATATATTGTGACAGGTCAAAAAAGTATAAATATGTACAACTGTTTACAATGCAAATATTAAAAAGGAAAAATTCTGCACCAATAGAAATATTATATATATTGGGCTCAGGCATTACCAGACCATAGTAGCAGCATGATAGCTCTTGCAATTTGCTTTGTGGTGTTACATTGCCCTGATTGAAGCCGACCAAAAAGGAGACAAAACCAAAGTGAACATTGGTCAAGCTTTTGAGTATAACTACAAACTTAACTTTTCCCCACTTTTACCAATGAAACATTTTGAAGCTCATCAGCTAAAACTAAATGGCTGCACTGCATAAAAACTAATAAGTGATGTTAACGTTGTGAGGAGTATTGGTTGGAAACAACAACCCTTTCAATCCTCAGTTGGCAGCGGTTCTAGCCTTCTTTTTATGTTCTGACTAGAACCAGATCTATTTATTCTGTTAAAAATAAAACACACACACACACGAAAAAGGAAAACTACGTAGATCCATGTTTTTTTGCACTGTGTTCTTGCAAATCAAGAAATTGCAATCAAATTTCTGGATTACAAAACTTGGAGCTGCAAGCTATAGAGTCTCAGGAGCAATCCATAATTTAAGCTCCAAATCAGCCTGGTTCAGGTTCAAATCAGGCTTTAAGACTTGCCTTTCTCAAAGTACTGTTTATTTGTAGTACACACAATTTATCGTTATTACAAAACATTATAATAATAGATATATTTAAAAAAATCTGCCAAGTCCATAAGCAAGTTTTAATAATTGCTATAGGTACTCCTTTATAAGGGAGCAGTTAAAAGGATTTTTTATTATTATTATTTTCCTAATTTTGTTTCACTGGAATTTATTTTCAGATAATTTTCAAAGGTGAAAGCCTCTTGGAATATTTGACAGCCATGACTTTTTCAATGTCATAAAAATAAAGTTTGACAAAGCTACCAATTCTGCCCTCTGGTGTTTGTTTTACACATACAAATTCCTCTTAAATAATCTTTCATGCCCTTTACTGATTTACATTTGACCTGTTTAATCTTTAAATCAGACAATTTCTTTTCTTATGTTTTGAAGAAGGACATAACTTTTCTTTTTAACAAACTGAACAAACAACTGAATAAACACATTTAGGTCAAAGAATATAAAATTGTATTTGGCAGGAACAAATACACTGAGGTAAACATAAGAATCATTAGACTATATTAAAGGCAGCTGGACACAAATGTGTAAAGAATTGGAGGATTTATCAAAATTTTTGACTCCTAGCTAGTAAAACATAGTTAAATGTTTCTGGGACTCTATTGACAGTTTATCAGAATTGCCATAATAAATCACAATATTTGGGTACATAACAGAAAACTACACATTATAATAATATATTGCATCTATCAAATACAACTATGATTAGGAAAAGTTGTTTAAAAGTTCGACTTGATCATGCAATTAAAATTAAATTTTTTATTTATTTTTTTTCCCAAAAACTGATTTAAGTCAGGTTTGGTGGACGTTATTTGAGGACCCAAATGCAGAGATGAGGAAGCGGAGATAAGTTCTTGCAGATTTAATTTAAATGTAGATGCAACAGAAGCATTAATCAGGAAAATAAAGAAAGAAACCTGTAGATGTTTGGGAGAAACACACGGGGAGCGAAGCAATGAAGAGGATATATTGAAAAACAGAACAAAGAATGGGCTAATCAGCCGATATGGGGAAGGTGGGAATAGAAGTAACTAGAATGGATAAGGTAAAGGAGACTGGTACAAGGGGGCAACTCCCTGTTGCCCCCTTGTGTTCTGTTTAAGTTTCTTTTTGAAATCTAAAAAAAAACTTAAAAAGAAGTCCACAAAGGGCAGAATATTGAGAGATCTACAAAAAAAAACTGTTGCATGATAAATTGATCAACAGAAGCTTTCAAACCTAAATGTTAAATGCTATATATGTATTTTTTTAACTGCACCATGTATAGTTGCAGAAGATTTGTATGTTATTAATGGTTGTGCATTTTCTGTTGTTTTTTCCTCAGTTTTATGCAGCCTTACAACCTTACAGAAGTCCCCATCTTGGTCAAAGCTCTATTGAGCTCTATAAGGAGGCATATGGATCTATCTCTTATCCAAACAAGGAGTGGTGAGTGATGAATCACTTTTCTTTGATCAGTAATATTCATAAATATTGTGATTTTTTTAATATCTATACTTTGGCTGTAATGTAACAGAATGCAGGCAAAACCAGTTATTTTTATGTTTGATATGGATGCAATATGAAGTACATATACTGTGTTGTATTCCAGGCATGAGTGCTTTTGGGACAGGAGGGTTATGCCATTATCCAGCTACATTGGATTGGTGGAATCCTTCTCCAGTTATCAGGCTCTTCTGAGGGATGACCCACAGAGGGCTAACAGGCTCTCCCAGGATATATGTGATAGGTAAATGTTAAATTTTACGTTAAAAATGCATCCATTTCTGGACATAGTGTCCTAACGTTTTAAACCACATCTTTATGCTTTTCTCCAGTCAGTTAATGCTCCAGTAGAATTTAAAAAATAAATATTTACGATCAGTTTACTTGTTATTTTAGAATTCTTTTTAGTAAAAATGGAATTGTATTTAACATTGCAATATTATTGTATGCTGGAATGCAATAAAAAGTAAGGTGGCCCAGAAGTGCAAACCCCGTCAACAAATCTTTAAGCCCAAATAAAAATTTTATAAACGCAATAATATATTGAGAAACACAACATTTTCAAAAAAGGAAAACTTTCAGAATAAACAATCACATTAACTTTGAGGAAGAGGTAGATATCAGCAGAGATGGCAAAAGTACTCACTTTCCGTACTTGAGTAAAAGTACAGATACTTGTGTTAAAAAATACTCTGGTAAAAGTGGAAGTACTGATTAAACTTCTTTACTCAAGTAAAAGTAACAAAGTACAGGCTTGTAAATTTACTTAAAGTATAAAAGTAAAAGTAGAAACCACTTTTTTCATGCCGTTGCCTACATTTTAAATGGATGTCTGCCAATAGGACTAGATCTCCGTTGTGTTCATTTTCAATCATCTCGTCGTCCATGCTACTATGCTAACGCCACCGCCACCAAGCTGCAATGATTTGCCGCCAATGAATACCGCCGAATCGGTCGATTCATCTTGTGGTGGTGCGTCAAATGCAACGTAGATTCCCATCCAATTAGATTGAATTTGGTATTGATGAAGTGAAAAATAATAACGGTAACTCCATTGAAATGATTCAAAACTAAAGTAACGAGACAATTTTTTAAAATGTAAGGAGTAGAAAGTACAGATATTTGTGTAAAAATGTAAGGAGTAGAAGTAAAAAGTCGCCATAAAAATAAGTAGTAAAGTAAAGTAAAAATATCAGAAAAATCTACTTGAGTACAGTAACAAAGTATTTGTACTTCGTTACTTCCCATCTCTGGATATCAGCGGGAAATCTGAGACCTCGCTGATTGTATGACAGCACTGTTTGGCTTTTGGTTTAAAAGCCAAACATGCCTTTGTCCAATTAGTGAGGTCTCATGTTTCATATTAATGTATTGCGTTTTTGAATATGTTGTGTTTTTTTGATTTGTAGTTGTGTTTAAAGATTTGTTGATGTGGTTTGCGCATCAGGGCCACCGTATAGAAGGGTCAACTTGAGAAAATGTTTAGTCGGCTCCTGTGTATTATTTGATCCCCACATGTAGAAATTCAAGAGAATTATATTTAGATATGTATATAGGCTGCACATGACTTATCATGCCTCCTTTAAAAAGTCTGAATGACAACTGTCCCCTCATTCTGAATCATAAGGCCTTTGTCTCGTCTCCTTTCTTCTTTCCTCCAGGCTGATGTCTGTAATGAAAGTGACCTCAGCAGAGACAGAAGTGACGGTGGCTGTCAAGTATTTCTACCTTCTAGCCTCCAAACCTCAAGAAACCTGACTTTTGATGACTCTGAACTTTTTAAAATACCGTAAAAAAGGTCACATCAATTTTTACATCTCAATTATTCTTGGTGAAAAGAAAGAATCTCAACATTATATTCTAAGATTTTTTGGACATTTTGGGAAATTTTAATATTGAATTTTTGGCTTAAATTAACATATATTGGGGAATGTTTGATTACATGGGAAACCCGTTGATATGTTTGAGTGATTGTTATGAGCCTTATCTTTTTAGTGTCCCACGTTGCCACTAGAGGGCAACATTTGATCAAATGTCCCATTGATCATCTGTGCATTGTCCATTTTCACTATATTGTTGTTCTGTACTTTAAGGAAGACTGAAAGAATTGTAAAACTGGATCAAATATCATGTTTATGTGACACTCTGAGAGGTTCAGTTGTATTCTCTGAGTATAACATGTTATTATTCTAATCTGTCTCTCACAATTGTCATACTATTTAAAATATAACCACAATCCCAATAGCTTATCAGAGTAACTACACAAACACTCTTAGAAAAAACCCCTGAAACTATAACTAAAGCTAATAGCTAATGAAAATCCTGTCCCTAATAAAACGTATAAAGGGCATTACTGTGTACTTGGGTAAGAATATGTGAATTAAATTAATATTACAATAGAATTTAGTTGAACACATTTAAACATTAGTAAACTAATACTTTGCTGTAGCACCTTTTAATTGAAATAATTCAGTGTTTCCTAGCTTGGGAGCTATTTTACAACTATAATTTTCAAGATTTTTTAAAATAAAAAAAACAACAACAATAAAACTAATCTTTATCTGAAGATCTTGTGTCAAAACTATATATTTTTTTTATTTTATTTGTTTCCATCATCTCACCTACCTTGAAAAAAAAGCTAACCCCAGATCATTCCAACCACGTTAAAAACTGCATTACATCAACTATATAACAATGAAACCGACTGTAAAGCCTGTATCTTATTTTCTCTTTCCAGTAATTATTCCTTATGCATAACTTAAATAACAAGACAGAAAAGGGCATGTAGCCTCTGCTTTCTGGTGTTTTACAGGATGGCATCTATGTGAACAGAAGCTAGGTGATGGTAACATACTGGCTAAAGTTATTCATCTCATGATAAAAAGAGTAATGCATTTTTTCCACAGGGATATTTAGACTTCAGTGGAAGACAGCATCCTCATATTCATCAGTGCTGCAGTTTGCTACATGTATTTTGTTCACAAGAGAAACTTTTCTCTACTTTTCCAGTTGATCTGATGACTTTAATCATTAAAAGTATGAACAGACATGTGCAAGCCCTTCATTACAAGGATTCACTGGAATCCTTCAAACACCAGAAAAACTATAGAAAGGTGTGTTGAAATGGTCCATTTAACAAAGAAATTACTGTTTGGCAACAAGTTTTTTTTTTCCAAGAATAACATTGCTTGAAGGGTGCCATGCTATTTTAAACTTTGATATTCCTAATTTAAAAACATACAAAGAAAATATTCCATCTCTCCTGCCTTTCATTGCACCTACATACATTTTATTGTCACAGATGTACCTGACTTGAAAATATGTTAAATATAGAAGAAGAAATCTGCTATATGTTTTTTAGGTATAAGTAGGCATTGCAGGTGATAAGCAGGGGTAGAGGTAGTAGATATAAGTGTTATCAGCTTAAGAGTTATTAATGCATTCAGCTACTATGCTTTGAGATCACATAAGGCATAAAAACAAGCTTTGCTATCTATTGTGATTATTCTATTTGTTTGGTTAATGTTTTTTTTGTTTTGTTTGTTTAGATTAAGATTTTTGTAACATTTGTTTTCATTGTGATATTTTAATCTTGTAAATAGAGAAAGAAAATGCAACATTAGCCTAAAGAATTAGCCTTAAAATATTGGCAGCGTTTTTCTGGGGATCGGTTTGACTGATATCAGAATAATCAATCTTTGCCTCCGAGAGTTTTTATGTCAATCTCATGATATACAAATATGTGCTTCCTACTTAGGTCAGATGCGACTGGTTAGTAGATTATCTTTGCGCATGCTATCAAGTTTACAAATATTTTATACAAATAAGAGAACATATGGATCAGAGTATTATGATTATGCAAGGGTAATACTAGTAGCTCTGTTAGAAACTTATTTTAAAGAAAAAAAACAGCAAAAATGAATTCCTTAGTCAGAAGTACTGTTGCACCAATACCGATTCCAGTATCGGTGTCATGGTCTTGGTTCTGCTGTTCTTTTCTTTGCTCCTTGTTTTCTAGATTTATTGGCCTAATTCTAGTTTTGTTGTATTTCTAGATTTATATTAGTTCTCATGTTTTTCTGTTGTCCTCTTTTGCCCTCTTGTGTGTGTATGTTCCTTTCCCCTTGGCTCCCTCGTTGTCTCCTCTCACACCTGTTCCTTGTCTGCTCGTTAGCCCTCCCTTTGTCTCTCTCTCCTATATATGCTCCCCCTCTGCTCTCACTCTTTGTTGGTTCCTTGTCTTTGCTGTCCTCCCATGCTGTTGTCCACGTTCCTCGTCTCTCCCTGGCTCCTCGTGTTTGGTTTTCCCCAGATGTCTCCATAGTTCTGGTTTGCTTTTGATTATTAGTTGGATTTTTGCATTCCTGCCTTTGTTACTGTTTTTGCCCCATTAAACTCCCAAGAAATCTCCTCAGCCTCTCTGCCTCTGCATTTGGGTCCTCTACCAAAACTAACCCTGACAATCGGGCAATCAACTATTGTTACCAATCAACTATTGTTACCCATTCCAGGTAGGCAATAACAAAGTTCTACTGGATTCACTTTGTATTAGTCTTTTTCCTGCTTCACAAAGGTAGGCAGCAGCTTTACAAAGCCATGATGGCAATTACTTTATATCCAAGTAGTATGCAGTTCTTCATATACACACACACACCATTTTCAAACAGTTGGTATCGGTATTGGCCAATACTGCACAGCCAGGTATGGGATATCGGTATCAGGCCAAAAAATGGCATTGGCGCAACACTATTCAGAGGTGCTTTATATTGTGAAAACAAAAGTAACATTATGCACCAGCTTAATTGTAGGCACCAACTAGGAAAGCAACTCAGTGAACACAGACCCACTGAGCCCAGCCTATCTTCTATAAAAGAAAAACAGAGAAAACTGTGAACATGGAATAATAATTGCAATAAAAATAACTCTAATGTTGGAAAATAATGCAAAACAATGTATGTCAGTATATTTACTATTTCCTAGTAGGGTTAATCCACAAACTGGAAAATACAAAAGATTCTCTTCTGTGTGTCAGTGTCAGTGTTGGAGCCATTCATGTCACTATCAAACATCAAGCTTTTATCTGCAAGATTACAGTTCAGATCAATAGCTGTCCATCCCTTGAGATTGGATCTGCTGACAAAACATGATGCATGACAGGCTTCTGATGGTTTATTTTTATTGATTTGTTTTTTGAAATATGTCCTTCCACAAAATAATAACCTGTCACTGGAGTACTTCAACACGTCTCGGGGGTCTTTTGGTGTTTATGGACTGCCGGTCACAGAAGAAGGTTTGAAGTTACGCATTATGACAAAGGAAATGTTTTATCATTTATAAAGGCAATGCTGAAGGAGTTGAAAACAAAACAAATCTATGTAGGAATATTGGAAATGTAAATTCGGTTTGAATAACAAATAAGAGCTTGTCCTCATTTGTATTTTACACAAGACTTTTTCAGCCATATTCAAATGAGTATGGGACACCACAGCGATGTAAAGCATCTGATGTTGTTTTAGGCTAAAACAGACATTGCATGATTTTTTTGGTTGTCAGAAATTGCTTTACTTGATTTATACCAGGCTCAGTTTCTCAAGGTGTTGCTATAAACAGCAGGATGAGTTTGACAGACTTAAAACCAAACAAGTTAATGTCTCAAAAAGTGAGGCAGTCTCTTATGACTGCTCTAAAGATGTTCATTCCCATTAGTGCAACATTTTATTGCACTACTCAGAGCTAAAGCTTCCATTTCCTTTTTTTTACTTGAGAAATATTTGATATTCCAAGCATTTTGTGGAGACAGTAACTGTGCAGCAGATGTCAAGCCTAAGACAGAGGATTGGTATAACTCTGACTAATGCATAGTCATGCACTTGCAGACATGTTTTCTCTTTAAACTAAGCAGACACTTGGCTCTTATTTGAATCACTTGGTCCAGCAAGGAGAGCAGAGCCTCAGGTGCAACACTTTGCTGCTATATGATTAAGACTGAAGCCGCTGGGCTTCTGTCACTGCAGTCACAGTCTGATCTGAACTGACACAGAAGTGGCTTACTGTATAAAAAAACTACCACCAATAAGACTTTTACAGGGAAAACAACACTATGTAAATTGGTAAATGACTACAGCATTAAAATTGAGTGAATATACAACTTATTTGAGCAAAAGTTCTGCATGGAAATGTGCATGGCCATAAATTAACAATAGAGGTGTTAAATAATACAAACGGAAAAACTTGGTTGGTGACTAGATTGAAGTTTTTTCCTGCAGATTTGGACAAATCTACCTTGACATTGTTTGCACAGATGCCTGGGAGCCTTAATCAAACATTTAACTAACACAATGTTTAGAAAATGTATTTTCTATTGACATTCTGTGCAAACCATTTATTATTTAGAAGGACAGTCTGTTCCTTGGGTAAGTTAAAAGCAACATGTAAAGCGTGACTAAGTCCCCAAAAGAAAAGTGATTCAGAATAGACCTTTGTGGTTTTAAGAGCCAACACAACTAATATGCCCCTATGCAAATCATTAATTTGTATTGGGGTTCTAGAATAGCCTAGCTCTAAATATGCAAAATGCACTTATGACAAGAACTAGTGAATTTATTTACACTTCCCTGTCTGCTCTATACTCTCATTATTCCAACAGTTTATCGGCTGCTGTTCCAGAGAAAACAAACTAGTCTGGACTTGTTTGATGAAAATTTCAAGGACTCTTATATCTCTCAAATAAGACCCCTTGGGTATTTGAAACACAATGTTGTTTTCATTGCTCAGAGTATAAGCCTCTTTATAAGAATCGACCTGCACTGAAGAGAACTGTGAGAGAATGCAGTGAAATACTGTACATACACTTGATGTTTTAGCCACATAAAACTTTTTTCTAACATTTTGTTCCAATTTGCCATTGCAGTAATGGGGAAGTAACCCCACTACCAC